TGAAAAGCAAATGCTTGTCGATTTAGAGCGGCAGAAGAAATTACAAATATATTCGTAGGGTTTGCCATAAAACATAGACGGTTGGAGTCTATATTTAAATAAAGTAACTGCTATCGTTTTATAATTAAATTTCTGTATGTCTACGTTTTAATGTACGAGTGAAATGTTAATTAAATGTATTATTGATTTTACCAAGATTGGGGTGTTGGGTACAACACACCTGACTCCAACTGGAAATTAACTTACACCAATGACTGAAACTGGATGTCTAATTTTATCATCCGTGACATTATTATTGATTATTAAAACTATGCTTATTGTTTTGTGTCTTGTTTATTAATCATGTTTTTTAAAAAATAAAAAATAGGACCAGATATTTTTGTCGGAGTTTGAATTTTAAATCCGGAAAGAAATATGTGATGAATGAAGGGAAATTTTCTCAGATTTTAATAGAATTAAATCTATTTCATGATTTGAGTGGTGTGTGAGAGTGGGCTATTAGGTTCATGTGCACGCTCCCAAACACACATACACATGTACACTGATCCACAAATACTGATTTTATTATGGGTTACAGCTGAAATATGGTGTTTAATAATTTTCCTCGTATCAATCTTACACTATTTAGCAGTGGAGGCGGCGTGTTAAATGTTTTCTAGAAATAGAAGTGATGCCCAGGTCAACAAGTTTTGAATAATACATGACCGCGGAAAACAGGCATACACTCCTTCGCAGACCTCCACACAGCTAAACTACTACGTAGAAGACAGGACCAATGAAACTCACTATAACAAAACAACATCCTTGATAGTGGCTATAGAACTAGCCGAAAGCGCTCGCAATGATAACAACTATGGTGAATTTTAACCTTGAAAAACGGAAAAAAATATTAGAATGCTGAAAAAACTCAATAAAAGATTAAGTAAATCTCCCTTGTCGACCGTTTTCAATATATATGTACCGGGTGTAACTACAATATCGTTCGAATCGTGTAACAGCATAATTGCCCATGCCACAAAACGTTTAATATAAAAAAAAAACAACTAAACTAATTGACTTTCATTTTTTACAGGTGTTCAGATAAGACATTTAGCCATCATGGCATAATTTTCCATGAGAATCACTGAAAAAAATATTGAGTTATTCAGTTAAAAAGAAAAGAAGCTAAAATTGTTTTGTGTCAGAGTCACTCTTCCCAACTGAGCAATGGCCTTCAGTAATGCTACCAGCATTCATACTCTGGCATACATCTTCAAATTCCATTGAAGAACCATCAAGAGAACGGTGAATAAGTTAAACAATGAGGGAACCGTAGAGAGGAAATCTGGAACAGATGGTAAAGACAGCAAGAAGGATCATCATTTCAAATTAGAGCTAAAAAGGTCAAATTAAGACGTTTGGCACGTGGAGATTCAGCAATGACAGTTCAAAGATCAAGGAAAAAAGACTTGAAAATGAAAACGTACGTGAAGGCTGTGTGGCTCTTTGTTACTCAAGAACAGAAATTTAGGTTAGAGAGGGCGAAGATAATCTTGAATAAGTTTTAAATTGATCGTGGAATATATATATATATATATATATATATATATATATATATATATATATATGTGTGTGTGTGTGTGTGTGTGTGTGTCTGTAAAGTGTGTGTATATAAATATATAAATATATATATATATATTATATGCGCGGTACTTATTAGAAAGCGCTCAAAATCAGAGATAGAGCTAACATTTTTGGTTGGATTAATGTGAGTTTGTGACCCTGGGTTTCACGCTTTTGCGATCGTCTATGTAGATTGCGTGTATTGGTGTTATTATGGAAGTGGGTGGGATCGTCGTCATGATGTCACTCATACTAACGCAAACATTGATTCATGTCCGTACACCCAATGAGGTACACAGACACACATACACACTCGCTCGTCCGCCGGGGCTCATGCAAACATAAACATATGTGGACATTATGGGATTTGACATATGTATGTATATGTGTGCTGTTGTCTATATACATACGCATTTGTATGTTGAAATTCAAAGATCGGAAGTGTAGCGAAAATTTCTCGTGAATGTCCGTGAATGTATACATGTCAGCAATCAGATCATTTTTCTATTTTCTCGCTGAATAATATTTCCTCCCATGCACGTATATACGTGTGGTGGGGTCTGTGTAAAATTATGATAGGTAAAAATTGCTATTATTTTTAATTTTTTAAAGTTTATTTGTTATTATTTTAAAGCTGGTTATTTGCTTGTTTTTGATGACTGTGTATATGTAACTGGTAGAAATTGCAGTTTGTAATCCTTATTGGTTATTTTTATGGTGTTATTAAATATGTTGGGGGGAGGGGGAGGTTTACGTTAATAATTATAGCGGGTTTATATGATAAGAGTAGATGTGATAGTAATGGTGGTGGGTGTTGATGGTAATGATAATATAAGTAGCTAATAGATATTGTAAATTGGTAGAAGTGATTACTAATGGTGGTGAAATGACAATAACA